TACACCCTTTCAGGCGCTGGGAGTCACTACTCAGCAACTTGGAACCTTAAGGCAGCACTTGACAGCCCGAGATTAGCCTAAGTGAGCGCGCAACCACACTACAGGAATCTGAGCCCCCAGCCACAGAGTCTTCTCTCTTCCGTTTCCTGGCAAGGGATGATACGCAAGACAACCAGGATCATCATTCATGCGTGCCTCAAACAAGCAAATTTATTTTATTAAGCCGCCTCCTGCTTGCAAGTCCATCACGAAGTGTCCCCTTCAAGCCAGCAAGCCAGCGTAGCATCGTGTTTTGAGCAGCTGTTTTCTTGTGAACTTTCTTCGTCACACATAGGATCCGTTTCAACCAGTCCTCATCCATCCAAGTCATAGCCACGCAAGGATTTCGGAGTCCCTTGCAGGACAGCAGCATCTCGTGGAACATGTGCATCTTCGGCCGAGGGTTGAAGAGACGATAGGCGTACATGCCCAGCATTTTGTAGTGCACATGCGCTCTCAAATACACACGCAACCATGCTTCACCCAGCACCATCACCTGGTCAGCTTGCTCCGTTGTCAGGCGATTGCCTTGCTCACGCGCCAAAAACAGCAATGGAATGAAGTTGTTCGGTAGCGAAACCAGTGCATACAAGTCATCGCTCGGCGCACCCTTCTCATCAAAGCAGGCGTTGAGCCATTTCAAAAGAACTCCAGCCATCCAACCTTTCCCGTGAAACTCAGCGTAGTTGTTGCGTTTGCCAAGATTCAGGCGTGCTTTCGTGAAGGCCCACTTTCGGGGAAAGCCTCGGTGCGCAACATTGAGAGCATATTGCTTTGCCTGCCTGCTGGCATTAGCAATACGCTGCTCAATCGTCCGGCCATCAAAAAAATCAGGCATTCGCAAAAGTATCACCATGATGCTACCGATCACATCGCGAGCTAATCCAAGATGAAAGGTGTGAAGGATGTCGACGCCGATAATGTTGACATGGAAGTTATGCAGACGCAACAATTCTGGTGCCTCATCTGGAGACCATGGCACTTCGGACGCATGCGTTCCTCGCCAGCTTGCTGTAGCAGCCAGATCAGTGTATGGATCCTGGAGGCTCTTGCTAGCCATGCACCTGTAGCAAATACGATCTGTCCCATAGTGGCGTCGAAGTGACAGCGCTTGTCTCAGCCATTTCCAATCCCCTTTGATTGTTGTTACAACACCATAGTAGCCACCAATCCGCTGGGCACTCCAAGTGTTAAAAGATTTCACAACCAGCTGGAGGACCGCTTGCAAAGTCAAGTTGCAATTTGTACGGCTCAAGACATACCGTTCCTTCTCAAATAGCGTGATGAGAAAACGACTCATGCTGGGGTTTGCCGGGAATAAACAATGTTCCGAGGACCAATTGAGCGTCATCCAAGATGTTCCTAATGCCTCCGCTTCGTCTCCGTACAACATCAGGCCTAGGGCGGGACGGCCAAACTCTGCACTGTTATAATTGTCACGGAGCAACTCCCAAAAGTTCTCGGCGGGGACTCCCAAGACCTGGAAGAGGTTTTCCTCGTCCAATTTTTGTGCCTCACAAGGTCATGGATCGAGGCATCCCTTATGGTCATGCATGGCTCTGGGGTAACGTGTATGCATGCTGTGTAAGAAAATAGAGGCCATACAAACTACATGAATTAGGACGATCTGCCCACGACATGAATGCAAGGCTTCAGCAAGAACTTCCTGCAGGTTCCCAGGCTCAAAGACTGCTCACATGCTTGGCCTAAAAAACTACTTACAAACAATCTAAGCATGCATGCTTTCTGATTCTGGGGCGCTTGCCAAAATATGGGGAAGTATCAAGGGCCAGCTGATCATAGCAACGTTGTCATCTTCATCCAGCATAGGAATTTGTTCCCAAGATATCACATCTGCTATCTCCAAGCCATCTCGTTGCAAGTTTCTGTGCAAGCGATCTTCATTGGACCTTAGAAGCAAGATAGCAAAGGCCACATGTGGATCACGTTGGGCACATCTGCATGAGGCCCTCACGCTTGACCGCAGTGCACATGAGAGCCGTAAGTATTGCCCAAGGATCTGCAAAACTGGGCTGAAGTTCCTCCTCGCCCCAACTCCAAAGCAAGCCTGTGCACGCACAGCAAAAACAATCTCAAGAGTCCAAAAATCGGGATCAAGCCTTTCATCTAGGTTCGAGCGAAGCTCAGCAGCAGTGTCCCGTGCAGTTCCTGCGCCAAAAGAATTTCACAAAACAAACATAGCCAAGAAAAATACATGAATCATGAAGCTCCAAAATTGTATGCGCGCAGTGATCCAGGAGCGTGCGTGTAAGCCAAGGCACCATGCAAGCATGCCTGTCACTTTTGCCGCTTGCTTGAAATCTCTCATGAATGCAGCAACTTCTCCGAAGAGGCTGCGCAAAAGACATCAATCAGGCATGCTCGCGCAAAGAGACAAAGGCAAGGGCGAAGCTAAGCTTTTGAGAGTTGCATCAAAAGAAGCTTGTCCGCTAGCAGAAACAAATAGGGTTTTCATGAAGTTTTCAAAGGTTTATACACAGACATTTTTAACTACAGAGCCCTGGTAGTTGCAAGACACTTCTTGAATGTGAGCGGAAAAAATTGGAAGATCGAAGCCTAGACTCATTTCATCCCTGGAAATCACTAGAGGCCTGAAACTTGATACAACCAGAAGCTGCATATGCATGTGACACAGTCTGCAATATGAGAACAAGGAAACATGTCAGCTCATGCACTCGCCGGTGCCCTGCAAGTTGGAAACCAGCGTGCTAAAGCCATTAGTTCTGTATACGTGCCTCTTGAGACATGAAAGTACTGACATCTGAGCATGCGTGCTGAGCTACTTCTTGGAAAAAATTCACAACAGCTCCCTGCATGCCCCGTGTATGTGGCCTAGCAAAACCTTTGCTGCATGGCATGCCAGATCAACAGACAGCTGCTAGCTTGCAGCACTCAGAGCTGCGGGGTCGCCCCACTCGTGTAGCCCCTGGCCAGCCCAGTCCATGTGAAAAAAAAACATGTTTGAACAATGACAACCACAGTAACCACATGTCGGCAACGCTTCTTGGTTTCGCTCAAAATTGCGCGAAGCTGCGCACGTTCAACTCTGAACTTGGATACCTGTCAAATTGCATGCACGCAAAGAACATGAGTGCTACTAATTCTCGTCTTGCCACGAAAATAGTAATCATCATAATCCCTTACCTTAATTTACTATACAACCCCTCTAATATAAACTACGGGTTCACCAGAATGCCAAAGCGTGAAGTCTGCCCCAAGACTACTTTTTCAATAGGCCAAAACTAAAGTTCATTGCAGCTCGGATCCGCTCAATTAGAGGGGTGGGTTTAGCACGACTCTTCGAGTTCAGGGATCTCTTGGATTTCCGAAATTTGCTTGTTTTTTGAATGGTCGAAGCAAAGAATTTATATAAAACAAGTCCAGAAGCAGATCCCAAGGCCCTAATTTGGAAAAGTCCCTAATTGGCCCTAAATTTGGAATAATCCCTGATACGGATCTAATTTGGAATAGTCCCTAATAAGGCATTAATTTAAACTAGTCCCTCATAAGGCCCTAATTTGAAGCAGTCCCTAACGAGGCCTTAATGTGAAATGGTCCCTAATACGGCCCTAATTTGGAAGAATCCCTAATAAGTCCCTAATTTGGAATAATCTTTAATAAGATCCAAATTTGCAATATTCACTAAAAAGGCCCGACGTTGACCTAGTCCCCCAAACAAAATCCTAATTTGAC